TCCATGGCCTGAACGTTGGATAGGCTTTTAAACCAGTGTTCAACTGAGGGAGGCTCAGTGCTCTTCCAGGAAGTTGCTATACAGTGTTTAGCCTGAAGTGAGCACAAAATGACAATCTTTTTATTCGCACCTGACACTCCTAACTCAGTTGGAACTAGTCCTAGGATAAATACCCGAGGGCAAACAGGCAGTTTGACAGATATAATATCAGATATAGTTTTTATTTATGTAATTACTTTTTCCCAGAATGTTTTAATTTTGGGGCAACTCCACAGGCAGTGTAATAATGAGCCTTCTTCTTCGCTGCATTTAATACAGAAATCAGAATTATTGTTATCAAAGCGATGTAACAGGGCAAGAGTTATGTATAAACGCATAATCCATTTAAATTGTAACAATTTTAATCTTAATAGTCTGACTTTGTGCATCCTGACAAACTGTCTTCCAATCAACTTGAGAGATTTCTGCATCTAAATCGCTAGACTAAGCCAATCTTTTACTGTCCGAGGATTCTTTAGATGCATCTACAATCATTTTTATACAGGAAGGTTATCTGGCCCTGGCCTTGAAGATGATCTAGTACGGCCTTTTCAAGACTAGACAGAGGGGGTTTATGAGGGGATTGTTTAGATGCTGTTAGAATGTAATTCCTAACTTGTAGGTATTTAAAAAAGTGTTTTCTCTGGATATTGTAAATTCTTTGCAAATCCTCAAAGCTATAAAGAATATTGTTGTCGTTGTACATATCCATAACTTTGCTGATCCCTCTCTCTGCCCAGAGTTTAAAGCCAGGGTCACCTCTACCTGGTGAAAATCTGTGGTTTCCCCATATTGGTGTGAAACTGGATATATCTGACATTATGTTTAAGTGTGCTTGCATTTTGTACCACACCTTAATAGTGTTCTTGACAAATGGGTTGTGGGCAGTTTTTAACAGGTTTTTCAAGGAATCCGCATACAGATAAAGATTTAAGGGTAATGGAGATGTAGTGGCCTTTTCTATTGTAACCCAGGGCACAGAAGCACTGTCCATGAACCAGTACATGGCTGCTCTAATCTGGGCTGCCCAATAGTACCAGAGAAAGTTTGGGATTTGGAGTCCTATCCTTTCATACGGCAAGTAAAGTTGTGTGAGTCTGAGTCTCTGGCGTTTATTATTCCAAATGAAGTTAGTTGTTAACTCTTTCAATTTATTAAATAGATTTAATGGGGGGTGTAAAGGAACGGATTGGAATAGATATAAAAATTTGGGTAAGATATTCATTTTAACAATGTTGACACGTCCAATTAAAGATATGGGAAGATCTGACCATCTTTTAAGGGATTCTGATATAGATGTTAAAATAGAGTTATAGTTCTCTGGAACTAGGTCCTTTATGTCAGGAGTAATTTTTATTCCCAGATAGGTAAAGCCACAAGATGAATTTTGAAATGTATTTGCCACTAGAGGGCAGAATCTTTCATTCTTCCCAAGAAACAGTATCTTAGACTTAGTATTATTCACTTTGTAACCAGAAAAACTCCCAAAAGACTCCAATAATTTAGTAAGTGTTGGTAAGGACTGTGCCAGATTTTTAAAGAAAAGTACAATATCATCCGCATAAAGGCCAAT